AGGGCGTGGGATGGGGGTATACTGGGGTTTTTGGGGGTGGAGAATGGGCACTGGTGAAGGTACAGGTATTTCATTGTATGACCAATACTTAAACCTGAAAGCTCTGTAACTGCTCTCACGGTGATTCAATAAATAAAATTATTAAAGAATGGAAAAAATTAAGGTGGAGTTTATGCCCAATACTATCAGCTAATCTAGTGGCTGAATAAATAGCAGTACTCCTACATTAAAAAAAAACTACGGTGCTGCTGTATACTTAAATGTTTTTATAAAAAGAAGATCTTAGGCCCTAGAGCACTTACTGTAGTGAGTGCTTTTCAACCAAATTTTTTATCAAATTTTTTAGTCGATACCTAGGAATACGGATCCAGTAGGTAGAACATTTGCCTTGCACGTGGCTGACCTGAGTTTGCTCTCTGACACTCAGATGGTTTCCCCAGCCCCCAAGAGGGATCCCTGCACCCAGAGCCAGGAGTAAGCCCTCAGCACTGCCAGGTGTGGCCCAGAAACAAACCAAAAAGAAATGACCTAGAAATATATGCACACACACAATGATAAAGCCATTGTGAAGGTGAGATCAGTTTTATCAGCTAGATAAAAATAAGCAAGAGCAAGAAAATACCTTTTATTCTCATTTCTAAACTTCACCCTTTTTCCCCCATTCCTTCTTTCCAATCTCTCCTCTTCCTATTACTTTCTAATTTGGACAATCCTAGAAGTAAGTGTTTGAATATTTTTAGTTCCTGGACCTTTATGGTAAAAGAAAGGAATAATCATTTCTACATAGCAATTTAATATCAGAGATAGTGCTCCTCACAAATTAATTTTTTTCCTATGGATAAATGAAATTTTTCTAAAAATTGTTTACTTATATATTTATATATCATGTATCTAATACATAAATGTTTATTGGTTAAAGAATTTCACTGTGACAAAAATGAGATTTTTTTTCATTAGATATAAACTATAATGTTTTAATTAGCCAATCCTATTAGTATAAAACATTGAACATGAACAGCTCAGATAGGGAAGAGATCATGTTCTAAAGAGGAAGATGGGGATTATGTAAGCCTTGTTGAGAATTCCCTAAGAAGAGGAATAGGAGGATAGTGTGCCGGAGGAATCGGAAGCATAGATCTGATTGGGCAGCTTTCTCACACGAGGGCCAGGCGTGTGGCTGAAATGGCAGAGCACACATCTTCCAATGTTCCAGGCCCTGGGTTCATCCCTGGCACCAACCACAGTCTGACTCCAGGTGTGATCCTCACAACAATTTATTTTGAAAACTACCTTTACCTTTTTCACTCTAACTAGAGAGCTATAGCCTAGTTTGCATAATGTAGAGCAAGAAAGAAATTCCCTTCTACCCTCTTTCTCTTTTTGATTTGTAGAATAATTAATTTTAAATCAACTAAAGCAAAACTTTCCTAGAATTTAGAATTGGAAAAAGGTTTTAATTCATTCTATTCTATTCACCAAGTACAGCAGAGTTTTGGGAAGTTATTCCATATACTACAAACCACTTAAAGCAAAATAAAGCTAATGAATTTAGTGGCAAATCTGTGTTTGCAAATAATTTTTTGAAAACGTTCTTATAATTTTGGTACATCTACACAATTAAATACTATGCAACTGTCAGGAAAGATGAAGTCATGAACTTTGCTTATAAATGGATAGACTTGGAGAGTATCATGCTAAGTGAAATGAGTCAGAAAGAGAGGGACAGTCATAGAAGGTCTGCACTCAATTTGTGGAGTATGAAACAGCATAACATGAGGCTGACACCTAAGGACAGTAGATACACGGGACAGATAGATTGCTCCATAGATGGAAGCCTGCCTCCTGAGCAAAGGGGAGAAGGCAGCTGGAATAGAGAAGGGATCACCAAGGAAAAGATGGCTGGAAGAATCGGTCGCGATGGGAGATGTGTGCCGAAAGTAGACAATGGACCAAACATGATGATCTCTCAGTGTCTGTATTGCAAACCATTATGCCCAAAAGTATGAGAGAGTATGGGGAATATTGTCTGCCATGGATGGGCGGGGGGAGGTTGGGAGGGGGGTATACTGGGGATATTGGTGGCGGGGAATGTGCACTGGCGGAGGGATGGTGTCTGATCATTGTGTGATTGTAACCCAAACATGAAAGCTTGTAACTATCTCACAATGATTCAATAGAATTTAAAAAAAAAGAAGAAAAAACATTCTTATAAGGTCTTTAAATCATAAAACTTTTTTCAATAAAAATAAATAAAGGAAAACAATATATTAGAGCTTAAGATTTCTTCTATAAAGAAAAACCCCTGATCAACTAAATTTTCGCATTTTACTGAAAGGAAACAATAAATGGATAAGCAAATAAAAAAATAAAATTTTATTTTCTGAAAAGGAAAAATGAGGCAGTAAACGAGAAGACAATTTTTCTTCTTTTAGTAGGTCATAGCATTTAATATAAATGATGTCAAGATCCCTTGACCTTAAATGATTCAATATCATAGAAGCAAAAGTGACATGAATCAGTCATTACATGAGAGTGATACTGGTATTATAGGGTACTGCCGACTCAGGGAGACAACAAACTTTACCTTTGCGTAAAAATTGATTTTTTTTTAAAGAAGTACTTGTTTGACAGCAGAACATGGCCTCCCTGCCTGGGAGGTCTTGTTTATTTAGGCTTAGGTGCTTTCTAGCCTTTTTTTTTTAAAGCCATAGTCTTTCTGTTATTTTACTATAAACTTGTGTCCCTCTCACTCCCCTCCCACCGCCACTGACTCCCACTATTGTCCCCACAATGCAGCCCCCACTGAGCACCCACCTGTGGGTCCAGGGAAGGGCATCGGGGCCACTCAGAGATGCCGTTGGCCCTCGTTTACAGGGTGTGCCTAAGTGCCAAGTTTTTTCATTTTAAAGAGATAACAAAGGACATCCTAGGCAAAGAAAACCAGGTCTCACAGTGGACATGTCTGAAGCCATGTGTTTGAAGAACTGCAAGTGTTTTGATATGAAAGGAAACATGTAGAAAAGTTGAGACGAGCTGGAGAGTAAAGATTAGAATGGTTCTGGAGGGAAAACTGGAGTGCAAGATGTTTTGTGTGACATGCCATATACTCTGTGTACCTGTCCAATCTCTGGCACTCTGACCTCTAGCTACACTGAATTTCTTTAGAATTCATTCAGCAATGCTTAGTAAATACTTACTGTGTGCCAGGTACTATTCTAGGCAGCAGAGATGCATCAGTGAATAAAATTGGCACAGTCCTGCCTTCACATAGCAAATAGTCTGGTGGCTGGCACCGGTGAGTGTGTTGGCCCCTACAATATAGTTTGCCTAATGCAAAAGCAGAAAACCTGGGTAAGTGTCAAAGGTTTAGGAACCTAGGGTCATGGCAGTCAACCAGTTTGAATTGTTTCCTGGATAATTGAATAACGCTTAAGTCTTGGTGAGAACACGGGTGAATGTGGAAACAGAAGAAGGAAACATGTAGGAGTCTCCGACGTGGAGGAAAGTAGCAAAGTGCGAAAGTCCAGAGATGAGAAATAAGCACAGAACATTCTTGCCCTGCCCGACCTTCAGTCCTGGAGGGTCCGTTCTCCCCACAGGTTGATTCTTCGAAGACATGACAATTGTGTCGGTCTTACCTCGGAAACCTCCAATGGTTCCCTGTCTGTCATGACTGCAGTGTGCTCTGTCTTCCCCTCTGTCTTCTGATCCTTGCTTAGTCTAAGCCTCCTTGGCCACCTTTGCTGATCACGACCTTCGTATAATCTGTTTCTTATGCTTGGGGAACATCCTCCCTTTGTTCAGAGTTTCCTTTAAGTAGAAGAGAGGCCTGACTGGTCACCCCTGGGAAAATTGCAGGCTTCTCAGCCCTGCTTCACTTGCTCTGTCACTTTACTCTGCCTTACTGTGTCTAAGTTTTACTTTCCAGCAACCAGAAATATTTTTCCGTGGTGATAGTAGTACTAGTTGTGTTTGAATTAACTCACCGTGTCCTGAGACCATGAGAATTATGCACAATGGATGTGAAAGGGACGTTTGCTTTGCTTTTTCATATTTGTCTCTTGACAGGTTATCTAAGTGTTAGGTAAATTCAGTAAGTATAAAACCCAGTTGAAAATTTGAAAAATCCAGTTGAAATCCAATTTATAAAACCCAGTTGAAAATTTGTAAAAATTTGAATTTCTGAGTATTATTTTTTAAACATGTATTTTCTTGTAAGTTCTTTCTTACAGCTTAAACTTCAGCTGTTAGTAAAGATATGTTCACATTGTTATTGTTCGTTGCCATATTTAAAATTCATTATTTTATTCGTTTTGATCCTAACCTTTGTAAGATTTCATGTAAGATGATTAAAGTTTGGCTTGTATATATTTCACTGTTGTATAGGAATGAAGATGATAACTTCAGTTACAGATAGAATCTTAGTATATCACAGAGGCAATGATTCACTTTGGCAGTTTTAGTTATTTCAAGTGGTAAAACTTCACGCAGTTCTAAAAATACTGGTTTTATGTTTAGTCACAGTTTACAGAAGTATATGCTCCACATACTTACTCGTGAATACTGATTATTCACTACTGATTATTGCTTTCTTAACTCATCATCATACTTTCTATGCTCTGTTTTGTGCAACTTAAATCATTCGTGCTTTACCGAAGCATCATCTGGACTGCCTTGAGTAGGAAATAGTGATGTATGATCAGTCAAACAGCTGGTGAATGCCAAACGGTGTGGGAAGAGTAACTGGGGCTTGGTTTGAAACAAACTGTATTGTCGTCTGTTCCTCCTGTCTCCCGCAGCTAGCAGCACCTCTGCTCTTTTTTCCTATGTAGTGCCTTCCCAGTCATAATCAGTGTTCAAGCCATGACTTGCCAGTGGCCACATGGCAAACACAATTGTTCATTTTTAGGTCATGAATGAGTGGATCAACGAAATATAAAATGTTAAAGTATAAGGATTATTTCACAAATATAAAGTTTTTTCTCTTGCAAAAATTATAGGGGATGGAGTGTTAGATCTCTCTACAAAGAAAACCATCATTAAATCTGAAGAGTCATCCATATGTGATCCTTCTTCTGAAAATTCAGTGGCTGGGTAAGCAATATCTAGGAAACATAAATTAATATTAATATGAAGTGTCTCTGCAGACAACTCCTAATACAACCTCAAATAGATTAACATACATAGTTTTCCTCCCGATTTGTCATTCATAACTGTGTGTCTCTCATACTTTTCATTTGTCCTTTCTCTTTCTTTTTTATTCTTTCTGTTAAAGAAAAGTTATCAGAACAATCACCAAACTTTAGTTCATGTTACTAAAATGAACTACCAGCTTAATCATAGAATACGAACTAAGAAGCAGGACCTGTTAGAGACTTAAATTTAATATACAGGAAGCAGTTTTAAGTAAAATGTAACTTCACACTTTAATTTTCAAACAATCAACAAACATTATAAGTGCTGGACTTCCTACTAATACTTTAAAGCTAGCGTATAGTGTCTACATTTTTATTGTGCCTCAGCTGTGGTTGCAAACTAGTACATCTAGAAAGCACCACAAAAATTCCTTCATGCTTTTGAAAGCTATGATTAAATTAATAAATGATTAGCAGTAAACTGTTATATTGGATTTTTTTTTTGGTAACTTTACATCTCCCCATTAACAAACTACATCAGAAGCTTTTTGTCACGTGTAATTCTTAGGCATACAGTGCAATATGTTTTAGCTAAGACAGTGGACTTTAAGTTGTAGGCCTAGTAAGCTTTCCATTTGAGAAACTGATTAGTATAGTGATACATTTGATAGAGGAAACATTTGTACTCTCTAAAATTATTTTATCCAACTACAACAAGCTACTTTGTTTCAAATTTTAAGTTTTATCGAGAGAAAAGTTGGTCTTGTGGAAATGGGATGTTTGTGTTTGGAAATATTCTTGCTACTACAAATTTCCTTTAAAGGGGTTGACTCTTTTATTACTTGTTTAGCGGTAACGTCACGTTTCTACTAACAAAAACTCCTTTAGGATTTGGGTATTTTTTTTAAATAATGGAACTCTGATTGTACAAATAAAAATTTATAAGTGTTGCTCTGCAAGCATCTGTCAGAGGAATAGCAACATCCTGAGAATATTTTTACAAATACTGAGTTAGGATTTTATGTTCTTGGAAGGTCTGCCCGTTGAGGCCACTGTACGATTGACACATTGTCCTACCAGGACTGTAACGTTTGCTTTGATAAGGAATAGCTACTACATCTCACAGACTTAAAGGAGTCATAAGCAGTGATGTTACCTAAGCAAGGAGTATAATAAAGGAGTGGACCCTCCCCTTCCATAGCTGTGTGAGAGTCTCTCATGCATCAGTTTACCATCGTTTCATTCCATCCATCCAGGAGACTACACAGAAACAGAGAGGACTATGTGGAAAGAAGTGCTGAGTTTGCAGATGGTTTGCTCTCAAAAGCTTTGAAAGACATTCAGTCTGGAGCACTGGACATAAGTAAAGCAGGCATACTTTATGGCATACCTCAAAAAACTTTACTTCTCCACTTAGAAGCCTTACCAGCAGGGAAGCCTGCGTCTCTTAAAAACAAAACTCGAGATATCAGTGATAGTTACTCATATAAAGACAGTAAAGAAACGTGTGCAGTGCTGCAAAAAGTAGCCTTGTGGGCCAGAGCTCAAGCAGAGCGCACAGAAAAAAGTAAACTCAATCTACTTGAAACCTCAGAATTAAAATTCCCAACAGCTTCCAGTTACCTCCATCAGTTAACTCTACAGAAAATGGTTACTCAGTTTAAAGAAAAAAATGAAAGCCTACAATATGAAGCTTCACAGCCTACTGTGCAGTTAAAAATCCCTCAGCTACGAGTAAGTTCTCTCGCAAAACCACAGCCCGATGGTCCTGCTCTGCTGGATGTGATGTATCAAGTTTCCAAAACCTCTCCAGTCCTAGAAGGATCAGCGCTCCAAAAACTGAAAAATATACTCCCCAAACAGAACAAAACAGAGTGTTCTGGGCCCGTAACTCACTCAAGTGTCGACTCTTACTTTCTCCATGGGGACCTCTCTCCTTTGTGTCTTAATTCTAAAAATGGAACAGTTGATGGAACCTCTGAAAGTACTGAAGATGGGTTGGATCGCAAAGATAATAAGCAGCCCAGGAAAAAGCGGGGCCGTTATCGGCAGTACGATCATGAAATAATGGAAGAGGCCATTGCAATGGTGATGAGTGGGAAAATGAGTGTTTCCAAAGCACAAGGAATTTATGGGGTACCTCACAGCACTTTAGAATACAAGGTAAAAGAAAGGTCTGGAACACTGAAGACTCCTCCGAAGAAGAAACTCCGCTTAGCAGACACTGGGTTATATAATATGGCAGATTCAGGGACTGGTGGCTGCAGGAACAGCAGCAAGCCTGTGTAGATCACTCGTTAGGCAAATGTCTGTGTGTATGTGCGTGTGTGTGTTTGCGTGTGCGAGTATGTGCACAGGTGTGTATTTGTGTGTCTGTATGCACACATGTGGGAATTACAGATGCTCACTCTGACAGGAGACATGAAATTTTACAGTTCAAAAACCACTTACATGCCTTTTGAAAAAGTTTTATTCAGGGTTTTCACTGTGGACAGAATTATATAGTTACTTAATTCTGATAGTTTGTATTTAATCCTTGTATAAATAGGTGAAAAAGATTCAGGTTTTCTTTAGTAGTCAATAGCATAAAGCGTTGTGGGAAAACAATTGTTAAGTGAAATATTTTCATTGGTGAAAGGCCACTCCAGCCAGTCAGTTGAACCATCTTAGTGGAAATCAGATATTAATATGAACCTCTTATATATCATACTTACAGCTTTTGTAAGTATGTCAAGCACCCAGTCAAAGTTTGGACCATGATTTTCCATACTAAAAAATTAATATATACAGTATTAGTACACTACCATGCATTCTATGAAATAGGAAATGCACTTAAGTGCATCCACCAGGTATAGAAAAGAAAACCTTAAATGATATGTATAATGAAATTTAATATTTATCATTTAATAGTTGATTTAGCAGAAAGTTGGGGTTATAAAATCTATACTTAAAATAACTGACACACAGTTTTAACCCCAGCAGCTATAGAATTCTTTACTAGAAGATGGAATACTAAGAACAAAAAGTAATTTAAATTTAATTATTAAGATAATTTAATTTTATTTCATTTGAAAAATAAGCTAATGTGTAACGTTAGAAAAGAAAGTTGGAATGCAACTTAGAGCATGTTTATAATGTGCACAGAAAAAGCTTGAGAATGATGATTTTGGTTTAAATGTGCTGGTTAGTTGATGTTATGACTACTTTAAATTTTAAGGATCGTGACACACTCCTACTATTGAAAAACCTCAGTGTAACTTTAATATATTTGCTGCTGTGACATTACAAAACATTTTCAGTTTATCAAAATGAATTGCAGATTTCATTTTGGTGGGCGATACATTATCATTTTGCTAATAACCAAATTTGCAGTTTGTTCAGGGTCTTGAATAGATTTACAGATATTTAACACTGAAGCTGTTTTGAAATGTAAACTCTACTAATTGGATAGTTAGAAGCTGGGCAGTGCATTTTAACTTTCATTAAATTCATAAAGAGACCAGAAAATTTTATATAGCAGTTTTTAATATGTGGTTCAGAGTATCCATGTTGGATTTATGGAGTATGCAGTTTTCGTGGTAAAATGTTATCGAGCACGTGCCTCCATGTAACAAGTGGGGATTTGCTTCAAATTGTCAAAATTCTGAGAGTGCCCCCCCCCCCCCCCGTTAAAATTCAAGTTCTGATCATTTTCTATGCCGGTTTTCTTAAGTCCAATGGGAATACTTACGGCTGAATTTTTCAAGTAAGTGCACCTTGTCAAATACTTGTGTTTTTACACTTGTGTTTGTGTGTAACTAATAATTACTATACATGTATGCTAAAAAAACCTTTCGGCTATTAAATTTAAAAACTGCTTACATATGTTTAAAGAATCTGAAGAGTGGGAAACTACACACCCAAGTAGTTGCTTGGTCTCTTAATGGATCTTAAACCCTCTTCAGTTGCTACTGTTACCTGCATACTGGGATATGAATCCTCATTTTTTTTCCTCCCACCCCTCCCCCAGAAAGTATACACAATAGATTGCAAAACAGCAGGTGTCAGGGTCATCTTTCTTTTTAAAGAATTAAGCCATATTTTGTGAGGGCCAGAACTTGGATTATTTAATATATTCCCCTTTCCCCCACTGAAAAAAAACAAAGTTAAAGATAAGAAATAAATGTTTCAACACAATTTTATTGACCTCTTTATACAGAACTTTACTTACAAAAATTGGGGGGCATGAATGCATTACATAATATTTATATTGTATTGAACTTTTTTATTCCTCACACTATATTTACATTAATAAATTGATTGAGAAGTTTATAGTAAAGGGATACTTACAGAACACTTTTATATCATTTAAAAGATGACCTGACCAAAAACTTTACAGGATTCATAAAATCAGGGATCATTTTGCTATTGACTTCACAGTGATCAGTAGTTTTATAGGTAGTATTGTAGTTAATTTGCATCATTTTAGTACTTGTATTATTTATTTTTTGGTCAGAAATAGTATATGAAAATATTTTTTGATAGTTTATAGGTAACCAGCCCATAACTTTTAAAAGAAACAAAATGTTTCTAATTATTGAGTTAACTTTTGATTATACAGACTAGGAAAGGCAGGGAAATTTGTGGGTTCCCCTTCTCCCCAGTGATTCTATTAAGATGTTCTTTATGTTAAACTTTCAAAGTACTTTATAAATTTAGTTACTAGTTACTACTTATTCATTGACCATTTTCTGGAAAATCCAGTTTCAGCAGACTTTTAATGAAGGTGAAAGCATCCCATATGTGCTTTCTACTTTTGAATGTTCCTCAAGTATTTTATATTTAAAAAAAAAAAAAAGAAGGAAAAGAAAAAACAGTGCCTCTGTTTTTAGAAAACTACTGCTCAGTAAACTTGTTTAAACCATTTCTGGTAGCTAATGACAATTTTATATTAAATTGTATACTAACTTAGTGAGACTGATTTTTTTTTTTAGTTGTTTACAGTACAAATACTTGTATTTGTTTTTTAATTGCAGTATTTCCATTGTCGCAGTAATTTAGTAAAACTCTGTGGCTGCCTTGATTTTGACAGATTTTGTTAATATAAACTGATTGTTAGGCAATTAGTTATATTTATGCATAAATCAATTGCACTATAATTCATGAATTATTTATTACAATATTTTCTAATGAATTCATGTATCTGTCTTGTGTTGTAAATGTACTGTAATTCTGTTCCTACTTTGTGTTGTTATATATCTAAATCTGATTGTATGAATTTTAATTGTTCAGTTAACGTGTTTCTAGGTTGTAATTTGTAGTAAAGCACTTCAATGCTTTTGCACTTAAATTTACAACACTGTTGGTGTGTGATTGATTTACTCATTCAGTAAAGGAAAAAAGAAAAATAAGAAAAAACTGGCTATACTGACTTCTTTGGTTCACTCTAGGAAGTTGTTTTATTAATATTAGAAATTTACTGTCTCCCAAGAAATATTTCAACAACAGAACTTCTAATGGGCAAGTGAAAATTAATATAAAAAAACTAAATCACTTTGGTTTATAAAGCAAACAGGAGTGATAAATTTTTTTAGCAAAACGAGGGAACTGTGAAAGACATAATTTTAGAATTTTTATATATTTACTTGAGAATAAATTCTAGATTGTACACTTGCACTTAATTATCTTTTTAAAAACTAGACTACTTTCCTTTGAGTTCTAACATGCAAGAAAAGAATTTGAAGCCATAAGCATGTTTTGTAGTCTTATAACCTATGAAATTAATATTCAACATCTGATGCATCTCATAGGTACTCATATAAATGAACCTCTACTAAATTTATTGAGAAACTTAAAAGGACTAGTAGAAAATCACTGGGCACTAATTTTTTTAATTTCATTGTTTAAAGCAAAAAAAAAAGAATAAGATACTAAATTTAAAGTATAGACTTAGAATATCAGAAAAGAAACTTAAAAATTTGCAACGGTTTTTAGAAAAGTTAACACTAAATGCTATTTTTTTTTACACATTTGACTTTACCTATTGGAAAAGAAAAGACTTTGAGAATTTCAGAAACAGTTATGAAACATAATTTTAAAATACAGTATTCATGTATCTGAAAAATATAAAACCTTTCTTTAATTATTCAGAAACAGATGTTAAATAGGTCATTATGTAGTTTAAAGAATCTGTTGAAGTGTCTGTCTTTAAAAGTTTGGTGCAGGGGGCTTTCTTTTGTTTATGTGAACATTACTAATTTTCTGGAAGAGCATAAATAATGCCATTTCTTCATATTTTATAGTTAATGTTTCCCTCCCCCACCTGCTGTTGTTTGCCCCATAGTTTTAAAACTTTTCTAATGGTGAATTTTGTGAGACATCTCCACTATTTTATACTCTTATACTTTAACCATGATTAAACTTACTATGAACTAAAAGTACTTTCAGAAAGGACAGGGTAGTGGGGTTATGTCGTATCTCTATCAGTCTAGACTTTAGACTTTAAACTTCTTAAACTTAGAAGTCTAAGAAATTTAAAGTTTAGACTTATGAACGTTAAAGGTTTTATTGTAATTCCTCCCCTCCTCTCCATCTGATTACTGCTTCACGTCAACCCACATGCCCGTGTTATTGAAACTGTTTGAATCTGTTGTTTTCTTAAAAAATTTTGATCTGATGTGAAAATTGCTTTGGTGTTTCACTACTAAACGTTTTTTTACAAAGTGTAAATAAAATATTTCATATTACTATGAAATGACATCTCTGGAGAACAAAACATGTTTCACTTTTTAATTTTTAAAGAAAAATCTTTTCATTTTAATACAAATTAGTTAATAACTTTTTAGACAAATTACATTTTCTTTAGCAAGTCATAATCAGTCCATCCCAATTCTAATCCTGAAAAAATTGCTGCAAATCAGGAGCTATTAACAGTACCAACAAATAAATGATGACTGGGAGGCTATTTTCATGTACAGCGTTTGGTGATCTGTTTAATTTAAATAGATACTTTTCTGAAACAGAATTCTTTTAATACATTTTATTCTTGATACTGGTATTGAACTTTTAAAAGGTTTTTTGTATACTTTGGTTGCTAAGTAATCCAGGGTCTTAGTTAAAGTTAGGTATCATTATAACTTCAATGGGACATTTTCCAGAATTTGAAATTAAATAATTAGGTAAGTAATGCCTTTAGCTTTTAATGTAATTACTGTAGTTTTTAAAATCAGTTTAAAATAGATTTGATTTTAAATAGTTTAATTTTTTTATCATTAGGTTAAAATGCCTATAGTTTAATATTTAGAAGACATTCTTCTATCTATATAAAATCTAAATCCCTCAGTTTTCTTGTGATTATACAAAACTCTCTTTTATTAATAATTTGCTTCATTACCTTGAAAGGTATTTTAAATGAAGAATCTTACGTCTTATTATCCTTATTTTTACTAATCTGCTGGTATTATTAAAATAACTTTAAAATGTCTACAAAAATTGTAACTACTGAAACTTTCATTATATATTCTTAATACATACAGATACTAAACATTTAGCAGTATGTAAATATATCAGTTTAATAAATATTACCTCAGTATATCAATATATAAATAATATCTATAATCATCAACTTTTATACTGTAAAACTAAAGCTTTGCTTAGCCTCATACTTCTATAACTCAGAAGTTACCAGAGCTTCATTATATTTTTGCAAACAATAATCAAGATATCCTTATTGCAGGTTTCTTATTCTGAGGAACCAACAAATCCAAAATATTTTTTGTTCAGACACTTAAAATTTTAACTCCTTATATTAACTGGTGTTTTTGCTGTAATTCATTTTTTGTTTGATTTTTATTTTTAGTTCAACTGTTGATGCAAAATCAGAGGAAGCTACTAAAATGGAAAAAGAAAAATCAGCATTAAGCAAAGTTTTGGAATCTTTGTGCATTCATCACCAGCAACAAATTTTGACTATGATGAAATTTCTAGTCCAAGAGCAGAATGCTCCTTCTCTTTGCTGTTATAATACTTCATTTACTGTGACTTCAGAATCTCAGAAGCCCCCAATTGAAGATGATTTGCCTGATCTATTCTGTAATTGTGAATATAGGCTGGCAGAAAGGGGGTGTTTACGAAATGAAAGACAAAGCCTTGGTTTTGTGCCTCTGCCAGTCTGTATTAAAGATTTACATTGTTTCTCTTGCCAGACAGTAACTGTTGAAAACATTAAGACCGTTGTAAAGGGAGGAATTGCTAGCAGTTGTGATTCCCACAGGTGCTGTTCTGGACTCTTACCAAGTGCTCCCTCTACAAAATCAGCCACTCATACTCCTCTTTTGAGGAGTGAAGTATGTGATGTTTCAGTTAGCCTTAAAGATGTTTGTAGATCTCGAAGTCCCTCTCCCCCACCATTATCACCAGTGCAGACTGAAGGATTTGAAAAATTGAAAGATGTCACAGGACTTTCAGCCTTCGAAAATAATAGACCTGAAGCAAATATTAGCCAGCCTCCATCTCTCACGCCAGCAGAAACAAGCAGTGACAAGTGTGATCAGGAAGGTACAGTACGAAGTACAGTCAAATCCAGTAACTCAGATTCTTTGCTCTTGGAGGATAATAATAAATATTCTACAAACCAGGAAGATGGTGAGACTTCTATAATTTTTCAAGATTTAATGGATCGTATTAATGAAAAGTTAAAATCAATAGAAACTACAGTAGATCTGGAAAACCACGTGAAGTTCTCTAGCAGTGATTGTAATACAGATAATGATTTAAAGTTGAGAGATTTAATAGCCTCTCTCTTGCATAATGCAACGGCCAGTGATTACAGTTTTATGGAATTACTAAGTCAACATGATAAAAAGGGAGATGATAAAATTATTCAGACAAGATTTCGAAAGCGTCAAGAAGCCTTATTTGCAATGCACAGCTCTCCTGATTCACCCATGTTTAGAAGGCAGTCTTTACAGATTAAAAGACAACTTGCTAGTTTTGATGAGCATTTTATAAGGAAAAAACACACTGAAAAAATTTCAAGGAAACTGATGCACACTGATAAGGTATTCTCAACGGACAAAGAATTCTGTTACTACCAAGAGCCTTCTTTAAAATATTCTGAAAGTGTTCAAAATAATCATGCAGAAACATCTTTTTCACCAGATTATGCAGCACAGCCATTGCAACCACCACTTCCTAGCTTAGAAACTAACTTAGCTTTTGATGACTTTTCAGAAAGCTTTAAAGCAACTTCTGAGAAAGTGGGCATAGGAATATCACAGGGAAAAGCTTCCACTGGGAAAATAAGTTTGCAAAATCAGAGAAAGGATAAAAAGTTAGAGAAGATTCTAACCCCTGTAGAAAGTGATGTTCCTGGAGTTGTGAGCAGAATTAAACGAAATATTGTGCCTCCGGGGTGGTATTCTGTATATGTAACACATAATTGTGATGTGAAGAAGTCTAAGGCCAAAAATGTTACTGAGTTTACAGAAAAGAAAGATGTAGTAAAAAACACTCATATTGAAAGCTCACATAATGTAGCGCTAAACAAAATGGCATTGAGTTCTAATTTACAAGTTGTTGTGGAGAGATTGGAAGACAAAGTAAATATGGGCAAAAAGTCTTGGAATATTCATTCATTACCACAAGTTTATAAAACATCCAAGAAATTGGCAGAAGTTGATGATAAAGATCAAAATCCTAATAGAAATACAAATCTTACTGTGGCTAGAATGACATTCAAAGAGCAGAGATCAAAATCCGTGTCAGTATCCAGCAACATCAAGAGCAGTCATACACCTTCAATCGATTTTAATAACGAAAGAATTGACGATATAAAAAAGTCATCTATTTTAGATAAAGATAGCTTACTTCCTTGTGTGAGAAATACACCGACCAAATGTGGTGCCAGTGTAAGCTCTTTTTCCAGTTATTCTAGTCCTGTCAAACTCATGTTCTTATCTGAAGTTAAAAGCAATGAGGGAATCAAATATACCTTAACTTCAGTTAGTACTTCTGAATCAAATATTGATTTTCATTCTGAAAAACATTCACCCCATCATGTAATCAAAAAAGAAGAGGAAATGAATGAAGATATTTTAAATGCTAACGTGAAGAATTGCAGTTCTAACCTTAGTGTCACTCTTCAAAGAGGACACAGTCTGAACAGTACAGAACAAACTGTAGAATCCTCTGAAATGTTTATAGATAAGAATAGTAATAAGCCACAAGAAGAACCTAAGGAGAATTCAAACAGTGCTACTGATTCGTCTTTTAAAAGAAAACCAGGTAGACCTAAAAAATTGGGTCCCAAGGTCATGAACCCATTTAAGAGACCAGTTGGAAGACCACCAAAACTTCAACCTGATCAAAGAGACATTACCATCTGCCAAAATGAGTCTATAAATGCTGGCCAGAAAAGTCCCGAATGTCTTATATCCAAAGTAGAAGAAAGTATTTATAAAAAGAGTATTACAGTAACTGTTATGTATGGGAGATCAAGAAGAACAAAACGGCAGGTTTCAGAAGGAAATGTTACCATGAGCAAGGTAATGTCTTTAAACAATAATGCCGGATTTCTAACTGAATACAGTAGCTGCAGAAATATTAGAGAATATAAATTTGACTCAGGTGAAAGAATCAGTGCTATTTCAGGTTTGTCTCCTGACTGTGAGGTCCTGGGATCTGACTCTGACTCCACTGGCCCTGCTGAGAACACATCTTTAGTATCTCAGCCCTCCAAGAAAGTCATTTGGCCAAATCAGAAGCCTTTGGCCATAATTAGGAAGCCTGGAAGACCTGCAAAAGTCAAAATTTCTGGCATATCTGTGACTATTAATAGAACTTCACCTCAGAAAAGAGAAGTAACTATTAACAGCTGCTTACCTCCCTATCAACAAGATAATACATTAGAAAAAAAATTTGAAGAAAAGTATGATCATGAGCAGTGCCATAAGATGGAAATAAGACACACTGAAGCTGAAATATTTAAGAATGCTCCAAAAAGTATGGTTGCTACTAGGCTTTTGAGACATTCTAAGAGGGGTAGAAAGCCATCTCTGCATTTCTTACATTCATTAACATTGTCTAACTCACTTAAATATAGAAATAATCTGCTCCATAAGTCATACAAACTTCATGTGCAGAAAGGCACAAGTCAGAGAGATAAACATAGGCAGTTAAGGATAAAAACAGTTCCCAAAGTTTCTCCAGGAGCTAGAAATTCAAGAAAGAGAAAAAGGTGTTTGGAAAATAACTGGGAAATACCCAGTTCTAAAGTCTCCTTGGACTCTGTAATGTCATCAAATCCTTTGCTCAGGTGGTGGGCCACTTCTACTTCAAATGATTCTTTATTAGAGGAGTTAAATCATAGATTTGAACAGATAACGAGTGCTTGGGTACAAGTTAGTAGGGATGAAGCTAAAAATTGTTTTTATGAAAAAAGAGAACATACTGAAAAGGATAATCTCACAATAGCTAACGCTTTGGAAACCTGTCCCTTAGGACTTGAAACTTCCCCTGTAAAAATGCTTTTTCAGAAAAAGTATGATTTGAGTGAGCTTTGTACCTGGTTTATGCAAACAACAGAAACACAATCTCTCTCACTAGTTAGAAAAGCAAATGCTAGAAATCCTTTGGAAGTAATAAGTACCAGAGGAGTCAAATTAGGGACCAAATATTCTGATTTTAATACTAGCCCCTTCAAAAAGCACTTAAAGAAATTTGCACTATCTTCCCCTTCAAAATCATCAGGGAAGTTGCATGTACTTCATAAGATGGCTAGCTCTCCACTCTTAAGTGTGAAAAGTAATTTAACACTACCTAGATATCAAAGGACTGGGTTGAAGAGGTTAACCCATGAAAAGGGAAGAAGAGTGGGAGAGTTTAGGCATGGCACCACTGATTGGATCTCTAAAAGGAGGAACTTAAGATTTTTCTGCCAGAACAAAATTTTAACTAAGACTGGGGAGCCAACAGAAGCTGACATCCCATTCCAAGGAAAAGGTACAGGCAGTAATTCATTTAGTTTGCCCCCTGAGATCAGGGGTGACTTTTTGCAGCCGAGGTTGGCAGTGTCTGACCTCAAAACACATGCTAGCTTAGAAAATAAAGTTGAGTCAAAAGCAAAGGAGAATGGAACAAATGCCAATGGAAAAGATTTTGAAAAGGGGTCCAAACTAGGAAGTGCATGTCCAAATAATTGGAGGTCAAAAACCTTAAAAGATTGTAAAATCTTTTTGAGGAAGATCAACTATCTTGAACACAGAAATACTTTTAAGCTTAATACGGTTGTTTACTCTCCCGAATCTCCTGGCAGTGGGAGTAGTCATCAGCCTGATGTAGAAGCATCAAAATGCTTTACCTTAAGATCCCAGGCTGGTAGGCAGAGTTCTCTTAAAAGAACGTCTAAAGAAATTAAAAATACTAGTGCAAGTAGTCCTTCAACCAGTAAATGTATTGATCAACTTGAAAATAATAAATCAAATAAGGGTGCTGACTCTGACAACAGCCCTTCCGCTAGTTCTGAAACGCTTAGCAAATTGAACCAAAGAAAAAGGCCACCATGGAAGACCTCAGAAATGCCAACAAAAAGACATAAACGGCAGTCTTGCAACAGTGGACAAAGGGCAAATTATTATTCAAAATCCCAGCTAGGTAAGTTTTTCTCTACATAATCTTAAAGTTTCATTGTAGGTGCCATGAATACAGTATGAGAAAATTTTTTTGTTGTTTTGTTCTGCTTAAAACTGATGAATTCAATTTTCATTTAATTCCAGATTCTTTGAACAAACTTATTTCTTGGCACCTAGTATGAAACTCATTAAATTAGAGGCTGCTTAACATACCAGTGCACTTCCCCACAACTTAATGTCTCCGGGATTTTAAGCAAAATAAAATAAAATATATTTGGTGTGGAGACATAAAATTTTCTAAACGTTCCACTAATGTAGAACTGTACTATTTGCTTTTTTTTTTACATATTTAAAATACTGAAAGTTTGGCAGATAAATAGGCCCAAGCAACTATCTGAAAATTAACTACTACACTCATGACTATATTGTATTAACTCAATAAATTAATAAGTTCTAGAGGGTGTAGAAAAGACACTATGTGATACTACCTGGAAAAGTTACTATATCAATTGCCTAATTGATACTACTGAAAAACAGTATAACAATCTTAGGATATCAAGGCCACATTCACCATTAAGTAGTTCTTTCCATTGGTGCTATTTTTGAGAACCATTTTAAACCTGCTTGTTTTAAAGAGTGTCAAGAAACAATTTTTTTTAACTAAGCAAACATGGAATTTTTTCATATCAGACATTGAACTGATAGGAGCATATCATATCCACAGAAAGATGAGTATCTCTTTTCATAGGTAATCCATAGCTTGAAAGGGAAAAAACTTTAAGGGAAAGCTAAGTTGAGAATACAAACCGAAATTATTTGTCCCACTCAGTTATATTGACTGGACAGGTGCCTCTAGGAGACCATTACCCTTAGGACCTAGCAGAAGTAAAATATACACTCCTTAGCTGCCAACATAGTAGCTAAAGTAGCTCTGATGGGTACTAGACAATGAAACATATTTAAAAGTGTGAGAGTGTTTAATGGTTACTTCCCTAACATGAAGAAGTATCAAGTTATGTTGGAAATTTAAAGATACTTATCATGGGTTGCATCATTGTATATTTTAGGTGAGTTGGTGTAGGAGTTGGGAGGCAATTTATCTTGTATTTTGCCAAAATTTTAAATATTTTTTTAAGTTACACAGTCTCAGGTTTTTAGATAATAAAGTCATTAAACTCTAAGAAGTTATTACTAAGTAGCCAGATTATAATGCTCACCAGATTTAATTATTTAACTGAATAATTTTTTTCGGGCACCAGTAACATCTCAGAATAATTTTTTTAATATCCTAAATTTTCAATAATAATTATGAACTGGATAAAATTTTTAATTAACATACAAGAGTTAAAACTTTAAACATGGTCAACGTAAAGTGTCCACAATGAAAGATTAATCAGATTTTAAAATAATGCCCTTTGTTTCTTGTCCTCCAGATAAGTAAAAATTACATAACAAATAGTATGTCAGGTAGAAAGAGAAAGGGACCCAAACCTTATCATTCACCTAACTGTATTTGTGCATATTTTTTAATGTACTGTTGTGAATGGAGAACAAAATGTACTTCATTTTTAATTATATGTCTTCATTTCATATTGTTAGAATTTACCAAAGCAGTCTGCATTAATTTCTTTTACGACAGATCCGTGTTTGTCCTTCCAGCTTCCTAACCGTTGTATATTTCTAAGATATAAATTATAATTTAATATAATTTTTCATCATACTAAATATGAGACCATTCTAGAAAAATAAGGTGGACAAAGCCTAATATTTAAATTAATTTTTAAAATCTTAGATTAAAACAAATTTTGGTATCATAGTAAAGTTGCTTTCACCTTTTCTCACTTGTTAAATTTTTAGTACAATTTACTGTTCTGCTTAAAGTTTTATTGTCTTTTACTGATAACTTTCCTTCTTTATTTTTTAACATTTTTAATCTATAAATTATTTTTATAAAAGTTGTATTTTAAAAAATATTTGTTATATTTATCTGTGTTTTTTTAATGTTTCTTAAGGTATTTATTTTTTCTCATTCTTGCTATTCCATATCTTTTTTACTTTTTTGGAATGACACTAAAATTTATTATTAGTTCTGTGTGTGTTTTTCTTCATTAAATAATTACTGACTAGAAACTTCTAATAAGACTTCAATAGAAAAATTCCCAGGACGTTGTATATAATGAATTGTGAAATATTTTTGTTGGTGAAAAGTTTTGCACCTACCATGATTGTATTGGTTTTGTACATTCTGAATTTTACTGTCCAGATACAGTTTTACTACAGAGGAGTTTACAGATTACACACTTCACTACGTTGTACTGATACGAGTCAACTGCAAATGTGGGAAGGAGAAAGAAATGTGATCCCATCCGTCTCAGTTCAAAAATCCACACAGTTTGCACTTGGTGTAGATTTCCAAAGCTCCCTTTCTACTTCGTGAGGAAATAAGACTTCTAGAATAGTGAGGGTCCTGGTTAAATTTATGGGCAGGGATGGGGGTATTGAGACTAGGCAATTCTCCAAAGGGCAAATGCTAAGATCTGGGAAAGAAGCAGATTCTAGAAGCAGAATTCTTAGACTTCCTGAGTACCACATCTAAGCTAAGATCTTTGATCTGCTATGAAAGGTTTCTAAGTATTAAAAGTAGAGAAAAGGGTATTTCAGACAGAACAAACCACATGTAGAAAATTGGGGTGGGGAGGCAAAAAAAAGACTTGTTGAAACATAGAATAATTTCATTCATAAAGATGAGAAATGGGATAAGAGTAAGAAATAATTGGGGCTGGAGCCATAGCACAGTGGGGAGGGCATTTGCCTTGCACTTGGACAGCCCGGGTTCGATTCCCAGCATCCCATATGGTCCTTCAAGCGCCGCCATGAGTAATTCCTGAGTGCATGAGCCAGGAGTAAGCCCTGTGCATCGCTGGGTGTGACCCAAAAAGAAAAAAAAATAATAATAAAGTGGGAAGGTGGGTGGAAAAATGGCAAAAGAGAAGGATATTGAGGAAAGTATAGCCCAAATGTGGTCACCAGTTAAATGTAAATATTTTTTTATTTCTGAGCCCAGTAGTAGAATATCGATAATAGATGTATTTGGGAGAACAAGGTCTGTGAAGCTGAATCAGTGTATTTTTGAAAAGTCAAGTAGCACTGTAGCACTGTTCATCGATTTGCTCAAGCGGGCATCAGTAACATCTCCATTATGAGACTTGTTGCTGTTTTTGGCATATCGAGTACACCACGGGGAGCTTGCCAGGCTCTGCCATATGGGCCGGATACTCTCATTAGCTTTCCAGGCTCTCCAAGGGATGGAAGAATCGAACCTGGGTGGGCCGCGTACAAGGCAAATGCCTTACCTGCTGTGCTATCGCTCCAGCCCAAAAAGTCAAGTAATTAAAATAATGCCTACATGTTTTGCTTGACATCTGATTGTGAGAAAGTGCCCCGAATGTTCCCTTCTGGACACAAGTGATTTAAGGTAGAAAGTGGGATAACCCAAGATAAGATGCTTAGGTGGGGGAAAACTCGTTAATATGGGTTTGCGGTGGGCCAGAGACATAGCGAAGGGGTTCAGGTGCTTGCTTTGCATACGGAGATTCCCAGTTCGACCCCCAGCGCTGCTGTGGTCCCATGAGCATTGCCCGTGGTGTTCCCTGAGTACAGAGCCATGACAAGCCTGAACGTTATTGGGTGCTACCCTCCCCACCAAAAGTGGAATTTATTGCCTAGGGAGTTACCTGAACTGGAACTAAAGATTTGATCATAAGCTTATATTCTACTCTTTGAGAATAGAAGAGATGGCTCATTGTGGGATGGAGAGCCTAGCACCTCAGAGTCCCAAAGAGTCAGGGAAATGATGTGCACAGAAGGAGGTTGGAAGAGCGTAGCCAGGGTGACAGGAAAGCAAGCAGGCATGGTGGGAAGTGTGTCTTTAGAGCAGTGCAAGCCGCGGCATCAACTCTGGAAAAGAAGTCAGTCGTTTGAAACAGTCCCACTGAATATTTCAGGAATAAAATGTGTGTTTTCATGAATACAGCGCGGTGCTATTTTAAGTGATTCAGGAGAGAGGAGCTTTGGCGGACTGACATGCCACGAAATGTCGGAAAGGGAAATGAAGAAGACTAGCACAGGAAATGAAATAGTAACTGGGATTGCGTAGGAGCTGGGGAGTTTGACGTTTGGGTGCCATCCAGTTGGAAGCCACCATGTAAGTGAAAGGTTGAAGAGACAAAAACAAGATGAAAGGAGTGGGGAAAGATAGGTGCTCCCGCTCCCCTCACCCACACTTCCCGAGTTGATGACTGGATATTCTAGGATGTCATTAGGTTGGGCTTGTCCAGAAGAATCACTTCTCTCTGACAATGGCAGGGGGGTGAAAACATCTGGAGATCATCGTTTATAAGCACCTAGGTAGAATGTTGACGATTAATAGCATATTTCTCTGAATCAAGAGGTAATACAAAGGATGGTGTGCCAGTACTGAACCTGATTTGGAAATGATTCGGTCAAGGAGGAGGGTGAAACAGTAGCTGCACACTGGTGGGATAGGGCGGAAAGAGTCATTCTGCGAAGAGGGAGAAGTTAGTTCTATGACAAAGTAAAATTTCCTAACATCTTTCCTCACCGTTGCACACGGTTACATAGTCTTGTGGCTGGGGCACACTGTGGTGTGTGAAGGGCTGTTGAAAGGTAACTGAGGTGACCATGACCTCAAATGGAGTGTGACTATAAAAATTGTATTATAGACCTTTTCGTGTCTGTTGAGTTCTGTTGAGCTCATGTTGGCCTTTTCTGGATTGGTTTGTATCTAAATGTAAATAAACTGACCCCCACCTCCGAGGAAATTTTAGGATTAGAGTAAGCTAATGTGGATTTGACGCCGTTACGCCTGGACTGCTGGGAGTGGTCTAGCGAAAGCCCCTAAAAAGACGTCCCGTTTCATTCCCACACGCCTGACGGCTGGGGCGTCCTGCTCAGGAGACTCTAGGGGCCCCACCGTCTAGTACTGCTGCCCAGCTCTCAGGGTGAGGGGTACACTCTGCCCACCTGCCTCCCGGGGTGAGGGTACACGTCTGCTCACCCACCTCCTCAGCTAATCTCTAGAAAGCAACGCTTCCACAAAAGCAGCCCAGAAACAAACAGTAAAAGCCTCCTCAGGATTGTGTTAAGCAGGTCAGCCTCTCTTTCTGGAGGCCTCCCCCCATCAGTCTGACCTGTGCACTCTCTCTATTAAACTTATTTTC